AACAGGGCAGGGAACAGTCTTGAAGGACAGCTTCTTGTCAGTGGGTTCTGTTGACAGACATTGTTTTCCAGAACTCCACTGCTTTCTCCTGTTAAGCCCTTTCATTGGGCTGCCTTTTCTCTGGCTGCTAGGTTGGTTTTTCAGTTACTTTTCTGTTTTTCTGAGTAAGATTTACATAAACAGCACATTTCAGTGACAATACAAATAATTCTGGCACCTTCCAAAGAGCATAAACCCAGCAAACCATTAGCAATAAAAGGAGCTGTTAAACATTGCTCTGAACCCACTCAGCAGGATGGCACAATCCAATTTTTTTAATATTCAGAAAATACAGATAGTATAATTAAATGACTTTATTTGGTAACTGTTCTCTGATGAAGTTATTTGAGTTATATTTGATGACTCTTTTTAACATAAATGATTTATAATATTTCTAAAGAGGCTACTCCTACTAATGATTATGATACCAGTTATACAATAAGTGTTTGTTGTCTAGGTCTTCACTAAAGCTGTCTCCCTGTCCTTCCCCTAAGAGAATCTGCCCCTCCTGCCCATCCAGAGGGTGAACAAAGTATGTCGGCTGACCCTCACCCTGGCCACAGCTACTCAATTTAAGACAGGATACTGGACCCATGCTGGACCAGTCAAATTCCTTTCCCTGGTAATCTGAACGTGGGCCACTGAGAATAATTTATTTAGAAAGTGATGGGTCACCAAAAGATAAAACTTAGGGGTTGGGAACACCTTATGCACCAAAACACTGACAGCATTTGCTATGAACTATCTTCACAAGGATGTTTGTACAGCAATAGATTTAGGAGACAGAGATAATGTCTCTTTGGGCAGCGGGCAGATTTGTTTCCTGATCAGAATAATAAAGATAATTGGTCAGGTTTGCTATTACCCCGTATAAGATTAAGATTTCTTAAACTCAGGAATCCTCAATGCTCATGTAAACCCACTGTGTGCAACATCAACCTGGGCTCACCTTCCTTTGTCACCCATGAGCTGGGTGTAGGGTGATGAATGCAAATAAGAAGCTCATGCCACCTGTTGTGCCCTGTGTAATAAAGTCCTTGCCTCTGATCCAGGAGTCTCCTGTCTTTTTCCAGCTTCCATGTGATTGTGGGAGGCTAGCTGGTTAGCTTTCAAATAGGATGAATCTTTAACCCTCCTTTGTTCTTGACAGAGAATTAAGAAATAGACTATTGGGCCGGCCGAGTGGCGCGATGGTTGAGAACTCGCTTGGGATGCCAGAGGGCCCCGGTTCGGATCCCACATATGAGGGCCAGTGACACTGCCCTCCACAGCTAAGATGCTGAACAACAGCTCAACCTGGAGCTGGGCTGCCATGAGTCGCCGGCGACGGCGTGGGCTGCAGTCCCTGTGGCAGTGGATTGCCATGGGCTACCGTGTGTGGCCAGCAGCCAGCGTGAGCAGCCAGCAGCTGCAGTGAGCGGCCATCCAGAAGCCGGCGACTGATCTGCCACGCCAGAGAAGAGCGCAATGATGGTGCCAACTTGGGCCAGTGAAGCAACGTCCTCCACAACTAGATTGAAGAACAAAACGACAGCAACTTGTCTGTTCCCCTTCCCCCAATTCCCCTGCACTGTTCCCATCCCCCCAATTCCCCAATAAAAAAAAATCTTTAAAAAAAAAAGAAATAGACTATTTATCAAGCTGCTCAGTCTGTGCAAAAGACAATGACAGCTAGAGTTTGGCGTATGGCAAAAACCCATTCCTAAACTCCAGAAGTTTAGAATCCACCTAGAATCTCTTACAATGAGCCCTTTTAGATTTTCAGGAATTTTATTATGAATCTGTTTTTAAATATATGCATTATAATCTGAATACCAGGCAAGCACTTGTCTATGTGTTGATTCCTACATCATTCAAATGTGAGAGGATTTGAATTTTCAAAACTGACATAGAAGCAAAAACATTTTTCAAATGGTCCTGTAATCTTCCTCCTGTGGTGGTAGGAGGAGGACCAGAAAGACTACTTCTTCCCTCTGTAAGTAAAATGTTTAAGAACAGAGTGTCTGAATTAATAGCCTGGTTCCTGTAACAACAATGATCATAATGATGTGTTAAGAACATATAAGGTTCAGGAACCTATCCTGAGTATTCTGTGTATGTCACATGAGTCGACTGTTTGGCACAGTCTGGCACATAGCAAGTGTGACATAAATGTTTGCTTGCGTTATTATCACGTTTCCTAATTCAATGAGGTAAGAACGCTTCTGTTCATGTCTCAGAGATGAGAAAAGTAAGGCTTACAAAGATCAATGACTTGACCAAGGGTAATGGGTTAGAGTGCTTTTTACTGCAAGTACAGAAAACATATCTGAAAGCATTAAAACAACAAGAATGTGGATCACTGCACATAAAAATAAGTTCAGTGAGAGCAGTGCCAGAATTGGCTACCTCATCAGCTCTCACTATTACCAAGCACCCTAGTTTTTTCCTGCTTCCCACCTTACCATCTTCATCATCTTGGCTTTCATATTGGACAAACTCTTCACCTCACAGTCACAAAGTGACTGAAGCCCCTCCAACCATTATATCCCCATGAGACAATAGCCAAAACTTTCCCAGAATTTGCCCCTGCAACTTCAATGATCTACCCTCATGACTCTTTGGCCAGAGTTGGACCACATGACCACCCCTATAGCAATAACAGATTTTTGGGGGGGAACCAATTGAGCACTTGAGTGCATTAAAATTAAGTCCTAAACTAAATCATGAATCTGCCCACAAAGAAGAGAAGGAGGTGGAGTTTGGGAGGCATGCAAAAATGTCTAAAACTTTGGCCCTAAAGACCCTACTCTTAACCTCTAGTGCTATACTTTCCATTAAAATGGAATGTTCTAGATCTCCACTGTCCAGTATGTTTTTAATTTTAATTAAATTCAAAGAGCCACCTGAGTCTAGTGACTACAGCACTGACAATGCAGGACCAGCATGTCAATAGCATTGGTGTAGGAGTAGTGATATCCTACATGTTATAATGCTGTAGAAATATAGTGTGAGACACAAATATAACTTACATTTTTCAATGTAAATTTTTACCACATTAAAGAATAAAAAGAAATGGGTAGAATTTATTTCATTATATACTTTATTTTATCTCTATATCCAAAACATTATCATTTTAACATGTAATCAATATAAAAGACATTGAGATATTTTAAATTCTTTTGTTCATCCGAAAAATTTGAAATCTAATGCACAGTTTACACTTAAAGCACATCACTACATTTCCAGTGCTCAGTAGCCCATATGGTCTAGAGATTTCAGAGCATTCATATCAAATTATCTTTCCTGATACTGGTTCACAACTCTGAGAAACGAGCCAGATGAGAAAACAAGGCTTAGAAAGGCTATGCCAGAGGTTCTCAGTCTTGAGTGTCATTAGTCCTCTAGAGGGTTGGTCCCCACATTCTGTGTTTCTGATTCAACAGGTCAAGGATGCATATTTTTATCAGGTGATTAGAATGTTGTTGTCCTAGGGCCATTCTTGAAAAATCACTGCTGTAAGGGAGCCACCCAAGCTCATACCCCTCATAAGCAGAGGGTTCAGAATGAAACCCATGTTTTCTGTCTTCCAGTTCCTTCTCTTCTACCTGCAGAGTGATGAGGCCAGGATGCTGAGGCAGTCTGAAGACAACTCCCAATGATCAGATTGGAACTCGATTTCCTCACTCCAAAGGGTTGACAGCAGGGTTTACATAACTTGGATACTATTGTATGTACATTGTATCTCTTTCAGACCCATGCCTTTCTCCCACTGACATTTTATCTCATATGATTTTAGGTTTACACTTTTTTTGAGGGAATCATTTAATAAGTAATACATTGTTAAAGGAAATCCTCTCGCTTATATTGAAGGTGATATCACCAGAGTTCAGAGGGGAATCTAAAGAAGAGGTCATTATGTAAACCACCCTGACAATGCTAGGGACTCATCTCTGGATAAAGTATGCCTTTAATATGCTCTGTGGCAGAGGTCATCAAAGCCAAGCTGAGTACTGAGAGCACTTGAGATGATTTTCTAATCAGCAGATGAAAAAAGTGGCTCTCAGAACTGCTCTCCTTGCTGAGGGCCAAGCCTCTCCTTGGTACACTACTATTTGCAGAAGCAGTTGTCTCCCAGAAACCTGTGGTCCAGATGCTTCCAGGCCAGGAGACTCCAGGCCTGAGGAGCACATTGGAAGTACGGAAATAGCAGAGATATTCACATTTCCAACAAAGGAGCTATTCCTTCTGGCTTGAGGAGGAGCAGAGGCCCCTGCTCCACCCTCTGTCCAGCCTAGGAAGTTCCATGGGTCCTCTAGCAGCTGGGACCAACTGTACCCATGGGTGATCCTCTCACCAGCTAGAGAAGGTCCCCCTGACCTAGCCCAGCTCCAATTCTGTACAACTTATAACAGTGTGATAAGGGGAGAAGTTTGGGACTGATGCCAGACATTTAACCCAAAACTAGGTCCCAGTACATACATTCCACAGCAAAGGGACAGGTAAGATGAGAAACATCTGATAAATGTACTTTGTCTCCCACTGCTTCTACTCAGCACGAATGTTTCACTAGGTTTTCTCCTCTGGTGGAAAAATGTGGTGACTGGTCCCCCTTCAGGTAAACACTTAATGCCTTGGGAGAAGACAGATTTGGGGGCCAGTTGCTCCAGCCTCTTTCTGCCCAGATGTCCCTCACCCTTTTGGAGCTCTCAGCTCCTCTGAGCAGAGGGGTCTCTGTTTTGTTTTCCAGATGTTTCTCCTGGCCTCTCCCTCTAGTACAATGATTTCTACACAGTGTGGCCCCAGGCTGCCTGCCTCTCTATAATTCCACTTAGTAAAATGTTGCATCAGTGTCCTTTAGAATTATCTGGAGAGCCTACAAAATATTCAAATGCCTCAGTTCCCCTTCAGACTAAGTAGTCAGAGTGTCTGGGGACAGGATTCAGGCATCAGTGTTTGTGAATTTCCCCAATGGGACCATAATGGAGCCTGTGGAGGGTACCTGGCCCCGCAGGGAAATGAGTGCCTGGAAGCTGAGGTTATGTCAGATCCCCCATCCTGTTCCCATTGAGGGCTGGGGCCTCCTCTTTTATGGCAGCCTTAGCAGGGTTTGTACCTGGCCTCTCACATCCCAGTAACAACACGTTCAAGGAGTGATGACTCCTCATTCCAGCTCACCAGCTCTGAGAAGGAGGGCCAAATGATATGGGAGAGCCCCGTCACTATAGGAATTTTAAGTCTCCTTTTCTCTAGTTTCTTAGCTTCCTTCTCAGCTAAGCTTGCTTTGTTTTGGTCATTTCTACAAAGTTGGAATAATAATAATATCAATAGTTTCCCCATGTATCTCAGGATTATTTTAAATACAAGTTAGGTATGAAAAGATTGTCAATATAAACCTATATACAGCTAACAAGAAAAGCAATAATAATAATGCAGGGTAGTTATCAATGGCCTACATTAACCCCTTTACCCTCTGAAGGCAGCCAAGCAGTGGAAAATCGGGTAGTGTGGGTCCAAGTAGGGACAGGCAGATTTCTTCTTTTGTCTCACCATCCAGATCATCCCTTTAAGGCCACCCAGAGAAAGGTAGAAAAAGAAATAACCAAGACAGGTGATGCTCACTGAGTGCTGCCCATAGCCAGGTACTCTCCCAGTCACAGCCCATGCACCGATGTGATGAATCATCACAACACTTCACCAGGTAGTTACTATCATCAGGCCCACTTTTCATATGTGGAAACTGAAACATGAAGAGGTTGAGGAACTTGCCTAAGGTTGCTTATCTGGTAAGAGGTGGAGCTGTATTTGAACCAGGCAGCCTACTATCAAGGCCACAAAGCTACAGTGTCCTGCCCTGTCTGTACTGTGTGGTCTCGGAATATCCCAGGCTTGCCCTGCTCTGCTCCCCACTACAGCAGTCCTGGCACAAGTACGCAGCTTTTTTCTGCACTGTTGCAACAGCCCCAAAGGTTCCCTGTGCAAACCTCATAGACCTTGACCCTCAGGCCATTCTCTGTCAGCAGCCTGGGAGCTACATAGACCCCAGTTCTAACACTGACACCAGCTTATCCAGGTCTCTGCTTCTCCACAGCTTTCGATGAGGACCCTAAGTGTCCACCAGGCACACAAGGTACCCTCAGTCTGTTGCAGCCTCAGCACCTCTCATCATCACCCATGACATCCCGCTGCCCTGCCAGGCACCCAATGCTGCTGCCACATTACAGCCCATTCCTGAGACCTCTAGAAGTATCTACTCTGCCAGCTTCTCTCTCTGGAGGCCACCTTCATCCTCACTGCCATGACCACCCTTGCCATTTGTAACCTTCTCTGTGAAGCCTTTCATGGCCTCCACCATTGCCACCCTTCCTTTGTGACCACAAGCACTTTCCCATATGCCTGCTAGAGCAGTTGGTGAAAATCCAAGGTCCCTGCAGCCCTACACACAGTAGATCAGCACCTCATAGTGAGTCAGCATGTGCATTATCTGCATATCATTTGTTAAATGAATGAATACTCAGTCTCCCTAACCCCAATAATTCAGAAGTGCTGGGTTTAGATGTTCCCATTGTGGCATGCCTCACACTGAATGTGAACTGTTTTCTAATAACCATGGAAGAGAGCAACATATATTTACCTTATTAAATGCTAGCTTAACTTGCTTCGAGGTGTACACACGTGTGGGGGTAGAAAGGGGAAGAATCAGGAAACATTAGGAGGAAAACTCTCTAAAGTAGAAATGGGAAGGATTCCAAAGGCTCACAGGATAGGCAGGACAACAAGAAATATATCTCAGGGAGGGGAGGGAGCTGGACATTAAATGGACAGACAGGACAGCAGAAGTGGGGCATCTAGGAGTTGGGAACAGCCTTGGGACACCTCCCCACTGGGCCCAGAGGGGACTTTCTGTAGGGGAATGATTTAAGGGTCTCCTCCAGTCCAGGGTGAAAGGGAAAAGCCACAATAGTCCTCCCCTGACAAGTCTGAGGTTTCTCTTGGCCTCTCCCCCAAATACCTGCACCATCTAGAATAACAAAGGTGTCATCTCCTTCCCCAAAGGGGTCTCTCTCTAAAGGGCAATGATGAGAACGGGGTCAGAGGAAAGGATAGACCCAGATAAGGAGTCTCCACAAAGGAGAGGAGGACCACTAGGGCAAATATTGCAAATGAGTCCATTTGGGTAGCAGAAACTGGGGACAGAGATTGGGATCAGCTACTGTGTTGCACAGTGCTGATCACACCTGTGCTGAGTCCCCCCCCCAAAAAAAAGCCTGGATAAATAGCAGTCAGAAGCCTCCGGCCCCCCTCCTCTGAAAGGTCTCCTCCAGCTGGCCTCAAGCATCTTGATGCCCCTCCCCAGCTACCCAGCATAGCAGCTGGGACCCTAACCCTGGTGACCTGGGAGCCACTTCCAGAGGCACCAAAGGCTTTCTGCTCAACCAGACCGTTGCTGATGAGGTCTTCATGCTGAGCTTAGCCTTCATGGCCTAGTGGGCAGCCCTGCACCATTGGCCCTCTGGGTTGATGCTGTGCTGCGCAGTGCTCAGCGTGGACCACTACATTGCTATGGTGCACCCTCTGCGCACCGCTACCTACTGGCGGCACAATGTGACCAAGCTAGGTAACTTGGGTGTGTGGGTGGCAACCTTGCTGATCACCCTGCCTATCACCATCTTCACAGGCACCAGGCCGGCTCTGGGCAGCCAGGTCATGACCTGCAACCTACACTGGATGCACCTGGCCTGGTCGGTGGTCTTCATGGTCTACACTTTCCTGTTGGGCTTCCTGCCACTGGTCTTGGCCATCAGACTGTGCTACCTGCTTATGGTGAGCAAGATGCGAGTGGTGGCACTATGGGCCAGCTGGCAGCAGAGGAAACGCTCAGAGAAGATCAGGAGGCTGGTGATGGTGGTGGCCATCTTTGTGCTCTGCTGAATGCCTTTTTATGTGGTGCAGCTACTGAGCCTGTTTGTGAACAGCCTTGATGCCACCACCAAGCTCATCCTCAGATATGCCAACAGCTGTTCCAACCCCATCCTCTATGGCGTTCTCTCTGACAACTTCCACCGTTCTTTCCAGCAGATTTTCTGCCTGTACTGCTGCCTCCTGGATGCCACTGTCAGTGCTGAGGAAGAGCCCCTGGACTACTCTTCTGTTGCTCTCAAAAGCAGAGGTAGGGCAGGATGCATATGCCCCTCACGCCCCTGCCAGCAGGAGCCCATGCATCAAGAACCCAGTTGCAAGCAGGTTCCCCTCTCCAGGACCACTACCTTCTGAAAAGCCCTTTCACCACCCACCCAGCATGGCCACCTCCAAGGGGGTCTGCACCATCCTTACAGCCCAGCAGACTGTCTCTGCTGGATGTTCACTTAAGAACCACCTCCTGTTTCCCCCATAGCCACCTCCTCTCAACAGTCTGTGGGCCAGCCCCAAGAACATCAAACCTCCTCTGTTTTCTTCTTTTCCAAGGACTCTGGCCCTCAGAAGGAAACCTCCATGGGGGTAGGACTCCTCTGAGCACTGGTCTAGGATATTAGTCACTCCAGAATTTCTGGCTATTTTTCAAGGGGTAGAAAGCAGGAGGATGCCAGAGAGGTATAGCCATTTGCATGTGACTTGTTACAGCAACTCTGCATGGAAGAGAACTGTCTGAGGGTGGGAACAGCCAGAGCCCTTGCTCTGTGCAGACTTCGCCTGGTGGTGGGGACTTAGCATATGCAGAAAGAGAAGGGAGAAAGAAAGATGCCTGCAAGTGCACTCTCTTTGTTTTTGTTCCTGGGCTCTTGTGCTAAAATAGATTTATGTTTAACAGCCTGGGGCACCAGCTTTGTTACTCCCAGGACCAATGCCTGCTTGCAATCACAAGTGTCACCCTGGTTGTACTAGGCTAGTAACAGGTTTCTTGTGAGTAGAAAAGATTTAGGGAGATCTGACATGAGGTTGGTTATGAGGCATAAAAGCAGGTCAGTAATAAAAGCAGAGAGGATAAATCTTATCTAGCTTCTATGATGTGATTTTTTTTTGCCTTTAACCTTTGGCATGACAGGATGAGACGTGGCAGTTTATACTGTGATAGTGAGTGGGAGGGGAGCCAGGAGAAGGAAAAGAAGACCAGAGAATGCAAATGGAAATCAGCCTGGATTTTGAATAGAGAAGGCAGCTCTATCACCCACTGTTAAGAAAAAAGTCAACATTCAGTAAAACATCGGCCAGATGTAGATAATAAACATATGCAGGCTGAACACAGTAAAAGGCTGTAACTTATTGCCTGATATTAACCCAAGAATAAATTCTTTCCCCCAAAACAAAGTCAGCTTAAGAAGAGCTTCAGTCCTGCTTTCTGCTAAAAGCAGAGGTGGGGGCTGAGGAAATGCTTGTAATGCTTACTTACGCTGGAATGTGTAGTGAAAACATGCTATTAAACATGCATGAAGTGCTATGTGGGAGACTCCAGCTGGCTTAGCATAGTAAATGAGACTTCTGGTTTGGTTGGCCTGATGGTGAGGGGGAGAAATGGGGGAGCTGAAGACAGTGCCCCTCTGCTCTTCTTAGTGGTCAGCTTTATAGAGTTCTCACTTCCTGGCAGCTTCAGGAAAAAAACATCCTGTACCTGTCAGCTTAGCAGATATTGCCTGTCTTGGGCCTTCTCAAGAGCCAGCAGACATTCTAAGGTAGACACAGGGGTGCTGCTGGGAGGCTGAAGAAGATCATCGAGGCAGGGCCAGGTGGGAAGGGTAAGGCCCAAGGGGACACTCTGATTCCACCATGAACCAAGGCTCCTCTCTAAAAGCAAGGGAAAGGCAGAGCAAGCCCCTCTCTGAAGTGTTCTGAGCAGGTGCCTGGTATAGGAGAAACCAGCAGGAGAGCTGAGTTTTGGTCTTAGACACAGGTGTCATATGATCCAGGCCAGTGACTGAACCCCAGGGTCCTCACAATTCTGCCTGCAAAAGCAGGAGCTCCTTCCAGTACCAACACACAGTGATTCTCAGAGGTGTATCCTTATGCTTTTTTCCACACGGCCACATATTCCAACTTCTCCCTTACTGATTGAAAAAAAAAGATCTTGGTCTAAACTGTCTTTGGGCATAAAACAATTGGATACTGATCCTTCCAGTGGCCAGCCAGAAGAATGATCTGTCAAATGTGATGAGTGCTAATCCAGTGTCTTATCCAGCTAGTGGGCCAGGTGAGATGCAGGTCTTCAGGGTCTATACACTCAGGTGGTCTATACTTGTCTCGGAGAGAACATGAGTAGACAAGCCTCTATTGTATACCAGAGACATGGACATGGATTGGAAGCTCCTAACTAAGGTGCAGTACCCCTTGATTCCACAAATACACATGCACACACACCCAGACTTGGACCATCTGGCCTAACTTGTCAATACCAACTAGAGTTACCTTGGCATCCACAGTAAGTCAGTGCTGCTGTCTATGGGCCCTGTATAACCATAACTTCTTCAAAGTCTTTAAATCTGAACTATTTATTTGTTTTCCAGTGCCAGGCAGTGCCCAGTACCAAGCACTTCATAAATGTGGTTGAACAGAGCAGTAAGGATACTCCAGGCTGGTGGCAGTGAGGTAAGGAGCTCCTGGCACTGGCAATGGTCTGAAATAGGAGTGGGCTCCTGGGCATTGTCCCAGCCTGGGTGAAGGTAGGGGTCCTTCTCTTCATTCTTGCACAGTGACTCTCACTGGGCAGACTCTCTGATGAGCAAGATGGGACACTGACTACACGTCTTGGCAATACTCATGCTCAGCTGAGTGTTTAAAAATGCAACCTTTTTAACATGGTTAAGTGATGGTTGAAGAAGAGACAGCCTTAGGTGATAGAAAGAAAGGTCACTAGAAGGCAGGGACTTCAGCAACAGTCAGGTCTTGTGAACAGTGACAACCTCTCCAAGCCTCAGATTCCCACTTCAACTCTGCACAAAGGGATGTTGTGAGTTTCTAGTTCTTCCCAGCTATAAATTATGCTTTCTCAAGAACACTGGAGAGACATGCTGAGACAACGGGAAGGTGAAGACAACATCCCTTTTTGCTTAGTGTTCTCTCTTTCACATGTTTAAAATGAGCATTACCACTGTCCTTGGCCTCATAATAATAAATCATGCAGTGGAGGGAGTAGAGTGGGGGTCCTATTGGCCAATCTCTTCATTGTCAGAACCTTCTCAATTCCTGAGGCTGAATGACTCTGCGAACGCTGCTGGCATCAACTGCAAGGTCTCTGTCATTGCTGGTTGCACAAAACCCTCCCTTATGTTTAGAGTGCAGCAAGTTTTCAGTGAATTGAAGTCAATGACGGAGATGGCCAGGTTCCTGAGGGCACTGACATGTTTAACCTGCTAAACACTGGCTGTGAAGGCACTTTGACCTTAGTGCTGCTTTGCTTACTGGGACCAGGAAGAACAGTGTTTGGCTGCAACATAAGTGAAAACATTTTTTTTAATCATATGTAGAAATAGTCTTCAGGCACCCCTCAATCAGTGAACTTGCCTTGCCTTTTTTAAGTGCCTTTAGGGCTGGCCGAGTGGCGCGTTGGTTAAGACCTGGCTTGGGACTCCAGAGGGCCCCGGTTCGGATCCCACATTTGAGGGCCAGTGACACTGCCCTCTACAGCTAAGATGCTGAACAACAGCTCAACCTGGAGCTGGGCTGCCTGTGAGTCGCTGGCGATGGCATAGGCTGCAGCCCCTGTGGCAGTGGGTTGCCATGGGCTACCGTGTGTAGCCAGCAGCCGCCGTGAGCTGCCATTCAGAAGCTGGCAACTGATCTGCCTCACCCGGGAAGAGCGCAATGATGGTGCCAACTTGGGCCAGTGAAGCAACGTCCTCCACAACTAGACTGAAGAACAAAACGACAGCAACTTGTCTGTTCCCCTTCCCCCAATTCCCCAGCGCTGTTCCCATCTCCCAATTTCCCAATAAAAAATCTTTTTTAAAAAAAATGCCTTTAATTTACTGCTCAGTGGCAATCCAGATGGTTTGGAAGATGTATCTTGACATGGCAGGTAGTCATGCATTGGACTTCTTGCCTTGTTTGTCAGCTGTATGTCTTTGAGCAAAGATGAATACTACTTTCACATTAACCTTTAAATTCTGGCTTCACTTTCATTAAAAACACCCTACCTAGCACTCCTTAGGTGCTAAAGGCTGACATGAAAGGAAAAACCAAGCATATGTGGCATGTGTTGGCTGTGCTACCTCAGAAATTAGACATGGAAGCCTGAGCACTGACTCGGCATATCCCCACAAATTTGGGTACCGAAGCTCTTCTCTGATAGGCTGCTGGTCATGAATTATCCCCATCTCTCACACTCCCTTACCCTAAGTAGATGACAGAATAGCCTCAAATTCCTTAGGCACAAAAGTCCAAATTCTAAGACTCTGTCCTCTGTCACAACTCCACAGTGTTGCCCACCACTAGCTCACACCATGCACACCCGAAGCTCTGCTCTGGAGGTGTGTGCAGGCGGGTGTGCTAGTGTGTGTGCATGTGAGCGTGCATGCAGAGAGCACACTGAATGCTGCTTCTGTCTGGCTTTAAGTGTGGCTTTAAGGTGCATGGGGAGCCTCTGCAGATATTTTTCCTGTCCTCATGAAGCTCGGAGGTTGGTTAGTGGCAAAAGATGCGCATTAATCAGATAAGCACAGAACTGAGAGTAGAATTCTAAACCAAAATAAAAATGATACACAAAAGTAATTTAGTTTCATGAGATGATATACTAAATGAACCTGACCTTGTCTTAGGGCAGCATTCCCCAAGAGTCGCTGCCTCAGAATTAACCAGGAGAAGAAGGGGTTAGGCCCGAAACTGTGAAGAGATCTCAGCAGACAGGTCAACATGTACAAAGGGCCTGTAGAAGGAGGCACTGAAAGTGCCCAAGGTCACTAGAACAGTGTTGGTGGGTGGATAATGCCCAGCCAGCTGGAGGCTTTTGCAGGAACAAATCAGTAGCACCTTGTAAGCCTTCTTTAAGGATGTAGGGCCCTGCCAAAGCACCACAATGACAAGTGTGGGCCTTCCTGGCAAGGAAACTCTTCAGCTCCAAGTCCTTGTAAACCAGGGTACACATGCCCTCTACTTTTCAGGGAAGGTCCGCCGGAGGATCATGTCCTTTTCATTTCAACTTTCAGCAACTTTGTACCTACTGGAAGGAAGGGTTCCCAGTCATATAAATGAATTGGCTTAATGTCCAATAAGATGGGGGCACTTTTGAAAATAGGGGAGAACCAATATATTATATATATTTTTTAAATCCAAGATCATTAACTGTG